ATTTGTGGAAGAAATGAAGAGAAAATGGAATATTTGAACATTTAATTGCTAATAAAATTTTTGGGTTTCCTCATCTTGACTTTTTCATGGTTTATTAATTCTACTACAGACTTGGAAGCAAATCAGATATATTTGCTATTAGTTATGGTACTCAATAAAGGGATTAGCTGCAAGATTTGGCTCATTTGAATGTGTGGAACAACCTGTGGATTTTACATAAGTAGGTGAATGTAAGTGAAGACTCATTCTCGATTCTTTGCTAGGCTGTCAAAGTTTTCTTTTTTCATTTATCTCCCACTTTATTCTACTTACATATAAGACTACTTTTTATTTTTATGTTTTCTATTTGTTTTCAGAATCACTTTGCTTTTTCAAAACACAAACACTTTCCCTATGTGATTTTGAACCTTACCCTCTTCTTTGCATTTCTCTCTCCAGAGAAGGTTATCTTCAGCCAAAATTCTCCAGTAGCGACACGTCTGAGCTGCTTGTAGCAGGTCTTTGGGTTCCAGGAATGAAAGCACATAAAGTGCCAGCTATAAAAAGAAAAAGCATAGTATACCCATATTGTAAAAAAATTTTTTATAAAAACAATAAATTAATTATTGTCTTCAGGATGAAATACCTATAGATAAATGTAATATAATTCTACATTCTAACGTCTAAAATTATGAAAGGTAGTACCTTCTAATATTCAATCTTAACAAACATATACGAGATTTTAAAAACCCAAACACTCTATTGGTTTTTATGAACTTCACTCCACTAATTCCTCACCTCTTTAAGGAATACTTATTAAACCTCTCTGCCTCTGCTCTTATCTTTGCTCTGTGAGCCTCAACTCAACTCAATATTCTACTATTTATTTATTTACTTTATTAGTTCTTTAAATTTTGTCTTTTTCTCTCCTCACTACAATGTAAATTCACTGAAGACAGGACTTAAGATAAGAAATGAGATTTCTGTATATTCTGTGTAGTATGATTTCAGATCATACTTCTGATAGTTAGATATAATTAATAGTGCTTTATCACATCAAAGTATTTATTATCACAATGATGAACTTTTCAAACATTTATACCCTTTACTGTAAATGACTGAAAGGGGACAATCATTAAACCACTCTGTAGACACAGAAAAGTAATTGGGTTCTAATTACTTTGCACTGCATATGGGGATTTTCTTGATGGGCCAAAGTCGTATATTTGAGCTAGCTCTTTGGTATATCATTGATTTTAAAATTTTGTTTTCAATACTTGCAAATCATCAATTTTTTTCAATGTGTAAAGTCAATTCAAATAAAAGAAGAGGAAAGAGAAGAAAAAGGGGAATGATAGCTTCTGAGTATGCTTATTCAATTAGCCTCACAAATCACATAAACATTTAAATTATGATATTAGGACAAGAATGATCTAAACAGGGCAATAAAATTTAGTTTTCATATAAATTAAATTACAAGGATTAAAACAAACTATCATTTAAAGGACCAAGGGTCATATAGGGAGTAAAAGCACAATTTGTATTATATTTTGATTCTAAATAGGAATTACATGATATAAATTATAATTTCCCAATGACTTTGTATATATAGAGTTCATCATTAATCACATATCTATTGGGAACATTCTTCACAGAAAGTTCTCCAACCAGCCAGTATTCAATGTAATACTACTATTGACAAATGACAGCAAAAAACTTTTGGTGGAATAATTATTTTTGGTCTATCAGAGAAGGCCATTCAGGAACATATATAGAAACTGAGTCATTTAAAATAAAAAAGCATAAGTATATTCAACAATCTATGTATAAGTGTGTATATACACACAGATATATAAATATATATATACATATATATGTCAACATAGTATTTTTTTAATGGATACTTGATAAACCACTTAATTTTAAAATTATCAATCGATCAAAGCCTGGGCAAGTTTGCTTAGTGTTAGTATAATAGTAATGTGATAATACTATACTATTAATCTTCTATGTGAAATTAATATTTAACATAGAAATTATCAGACACAAAGTTATATTTGCGGAAAAGAGATGCTATTTAATGCCCAAGATATTTAGAACAGTCATATGAAAAAGTCTATTCTTTGTTCTAGTTATCCAGCTAAAGTAGAAATCAGGTAATCTACAGAAACATTCAATAGATCTTAAAGGCTAGAAAACAAATCCAGAGCAGCCTAGATTTCAAAGGTACATCCCAAAATCAACAGGTAAAATTTCCTTCATTACCGATGATTAAGAGATCTAATCCAGTGTCTGCATGCATTAAAGAAAAATGTAAAGAGACACTCAGGTGCCAAAGAAAGTTGAAGTGCTAACTCCATAGGTAACTGGCACACTTTCCTTTAAAATAGCAAAGGCCCTAAGTCAAATCATGAACTTCAACTTATTAAATGTTTGTCTAGACCATCAAAACATCTAAGTATTATAGAAAATACACACAGCAAAATACAAAAATATGAATAAGAAAATCAGAACCAGGAAAAATATAAATCAGAACAGAAGGTTTAAACCAGAGAAAAAGTAGAACACAAATATGCTGGCAACAATATCTTACATGGTTTTTTAATTAAATTGCCAAGCAAAAGGGCATAGCAATTAGTTATACAATTCTTAGTGTGTATCATGGGGAAGTATATCAGTTCCTCAAAGGAAGCAAGATTTTGTCACGTGGGGTTCCTTATAGGGGATGGAGAGTGGGCATTGTCCCAAACTACGTCTCTACAACACCACAGTAGGGGTTATAGTCTTCTTGCAGCCAAGTCAAACGGTCTAGCTAATGCAATTTTCTATTAATTTGTCTTAAAGGTAAAATCTAGAATAGTAATTCTTCCTATGGACTACTTCCACCAGACAGAAGCTCTTAAATTGAAATTCTACTTTGGATAATTACCTTTTCCTTGCCTGAACTTGTCATTTCAGTAAGAGTTGCTATTTTTGTTTTTCTCTATAACTTAAATAAAAGATTACCATATTATACTTAAAAGACAGCTAATACTTTCTTAGAATTGCTATATTTCAGTGGACTGAACCCATGAAAGGAAAAAGAATAAAGAAGATGTTGACTGATCCTATGTTAAGAATTTAGGTTTCATTCTAGATCATCTACTATATCACTATGCGTTTCTTGGTATTTACTTACAAAATAAGGATAATGCTGTTTATCACAAGCCTCCCAAGTGAGGCTAGTGAGATTTTTGTCAAGGTTTTTGAGATTAATAAGTAAATGTTGGTAAAGAGCTTTGAGATCTGTTGAAAGGAGTTATAAGAAAATTATTATAAGTCCATTTCCTGACATGAAGGTAATAACGTTTTAAATAATGATAGTACTTAGTCTCCGATAAGATAATGTTAGTTTCCTTAAGGACTTAGATCTATACCATTATTTCTCCATATATAAAATAAAGAATTTTTCAAAACAGGGAACTTTTTTTCTAGTAGTTAAAAACAGGGAAAATATAGATGATATGCTAAGCCAGGGCTCACTCTCATTCTCCTATCTAGCCTCACTTCTTTTTCCTCAGGCAATCTTTAAAAGAATACTTAATCCAAGAAAATCTTGACTGCATTTACCCTGTTATAGATAATCTGTGATCAATTCTTAGATTCTTAAAAATATTTTCATATTTTTCTAATTTTAAGTCACATTTTTGCATGTTAAGAAGTTACTGTGGAAATCTAAATAAAGCAACAACAAAACAAAACACCATTCTTAGAGATAAGGGGACAAACTAAACTAGAAAAGTCCATATTTTAATAAAAATACTACCCTCTAAAATAAGGAGACTACCAGGGAAACTATAAAGAATATATCAAAGGCGAATAAATTCACTTTCAGTCAAATGCTTATAAAAGTGCTTCCTACTATTAATGTCTTTCTGAAAGCAAAGAGAGCTTATGTCACTTTCATAAGCCAAATCTATTCAAAGGGTTTGGTTTTAGAATGAGCCAGCAAGAATAAAAAATTTTTTCTGGGACAATGTCATTTTTAAAAATCATTCCAAAGAAGAAACATTTCAAGAAAAAGATGTTTTTTTCACTTTGCTTTTTCCCGGATTTATGCTTAATTTTACACATTAAATATTATGAAACTATTTCATTCATATTCAATGTGAAATTATTATTGGAACTATCTTTAATACTCTTAGGATACTTAGAATGGTTATCTTAAAAAAAATCAACTCCTTTTCTTTTCTCTTCAAATTTGAAATTTCAGAATCATTTGCAATGGTATATTAGTATTTTATATTGTTGTCTTAGCTCACATATAATTAGTGGCATATATATAATTTGTGAAAATATAAATCACAGTAACATTGATTAATGTTATATTATTTTTGTTTGCTGACAAAAATGAAACTATGAAGCCTATAACATCAATAAAAGAACTATATCTAAACTATGCCTCACTTATACAGTCAAGAATGCCCATATAATCATAATCAACCTATGATTAAAAAATCATAGATCTTTTATTTTATATAAAGATATAAAAACAAATGGGCATAAATAATTCCAAGAGAAATGTTATCAGAATGTAATTGGTACGGGAAATCTGTGATTATGTATGTGTGTGTGTGATGGGGGCAAGAAGGGAGATGATTAACAGAAAAAGACATATAGGTGAAATTCATTATATTTCAAAATAATTATACAATGTAAGTAACAGAGAAATACAATTCAACAGAATCATAAAACTATAGTTTCTAAGGAACTTAGGATAAACAAAGAGCAAAATAAGAAAAAAATATTATTTTTAATAAAATCATAACAAAAAAAATCTACTACTATAACGAACATACGAAGACAACTCAAGGTTGGGCTTCAAACAACTTGGGGAAAAATCTTGGTAAAGACACAATCAAATTAATGAAACTCAACAGCTTACTCTCATATATGATTTATTCCAGTGGTGGAAAGAAGTCACTTAGTCCATAAGTACACTTTAATCTGAAAATTATACTAATAAGTCACGGCAGCTTATCATTTACAGCCCTCTTCAACACTAATTAACAGCGTTAAACTGACAATACTGAACACCATAATTAGCATGACATTGTTTAAAGGTGGTAGCTGTTGAGTTATATTTTCAAATAGCATTCAATGAAGAATATAACTGATAATCCTTACCTCTTTAGGGAGCAAGGAAATGAAGTCTCGTTGAAACTGAGGTTCTATCACTTGCATCATATGTTTTACTTGGGTTGGTTCACAACTATCAATAAGTTCATCTAAAGCAAGCAATTTCTCTGGTCCACTCCAGCTCTATCAAAGAGGAATTAGAAATTTTATTATTTTAATAGATGTCCCAAATTATAAAATCATAAAGGAAAATCCACATCTACACACAACATAAAAGGTGGCTGACATTTTCTCCAGAAGGCATTGAACTGATAATCCTTTAGTCTCATCAAGTTTACTAGCTACCTTTATTTTGTAAAACCTTTTAAAAATGTCATGGTTTTGATAGAAAAATATTTTTGCATTACATTATTATAATTGTTACATGCTCGTCTACCACCAAGATACTGGTTGAATTTTGGAGAAACCAAAATTTTATTCAGAAACATCAATTTGGGTTACCGTGTAAATAGGGAATTTTGACAGATGATTTTCCTTTCTCTACATTCTTTCTAGTGGGCACCATAAAACTTGACGGTTTTAATAAGGTACTCATCTGAGAGTTAGGAGATTGGCAGCATCATTTAGAGAAAAATTAATAACTGGATATACTGTACATCTGACGAGAGTCTTCCACAAATTAAAAGGGCTTTGATTTGTTATGTGAAAATAATTTCAGGTAAAAAATAGCAAACAATAGAAAATAGTAGCTGACTTAGTAGCAAAATTAGAAGATGAACAAAGACTAAAAGAGGGTAAGAAATAAAGTACATTATGGAAAAACAAAAACACATAATTACACTTCAAAAACATGAGCTCTTTTAAACTACACTAGGGGATTATTTAAAAAAAATTTTTTTTCTTCCAGTGAGGAACTCCTGCACAGAAAAGCCATGTAATTTAAAATGTTAGAATTTCCCCTCACAATAATCATGTAAAACATTTAAATAACCTTGTAATACTTAAGTGAAAGAATATCCTTGAGCAGGCTGATTTAAGTACCTCTGTGAATTATTATGTCCGTTTTGGAAATGGGTGAAGAGAGAACAATAGGTGAGGCTTGGAGCTAGAAAGATCTAGATTTTGACATTCCATTTCTTGCTCAAACTAGGAACCTGGATTTTGTAATATGTGAAATAGATAATTGAAAACTGAGATATGCGGAGGATACAGGAAGCCTTATTTAGAATACTTTTTAAAGTATCTCTTGAAGTATTTATCCCTTTAGAATCTACAAGGAACTTCATCTCCTTTCCTATCATAAAGTGTAGATTATGGTAATACTATCAAACATTTCACTAGTACTTCCATAGCCCTTGTCACAAACCTTTTCTCATTTAATCATCACAAAAACTGGGGAATCCCCATTTTACCATCAAATAAGAGGAAACACAGACTTGTCCTTAACACATAAGTTGTGTCCTTTCCTTTTACTTCTATACATACACATACCCAGAACATTCTCGAGTACTCACCTTGAATTCTTTTTGGTTAGGGTGAGGATTTACATATAAAAATTAAAAATACTCATATACATGTATATGCACACACATGACCAAATAAAAGCAGTATATTTAAAGTTTAATTGTTTTGTTCAGTTTCCTTCATATAGCTTCAAATCCTGGTTCAAAACTTACCTCTTTGACAAAACTTACACTGATCAATCTCCATTCATCTCTGGTCGTTTAGTATCAATACTATAAACTTTGATTTATTGATTTACATTCCTCACAATATTTTAGGTAGGTTTTTATAATATGTTGTTCCTCTCCATCTACGGTATAAGGATTCATGGACACTACTATAAGGACATGCCCATTTTGGGTGATGGATAACTATGTTGACTTGATTAAAATGCAGCTTTAATTAAGTCACTTGATAGCAGAATAACTTTAATGTAAACTTCTTAATCTCCTTTGTATATATGAATACCTACTTTAAAAATATTTTTGGAAGTGTTTATAGTTGAATTTTAATATAAAGATATCCTATATAATCTTCTACAGTAAAAAGATAGTGAAAAACTTTTCAACATATTACAAATCTATATAACTTACATATTAATTACATTAATAGCTACTATGAATATTTCTAATTTAAGGTAAGATACTATACATGTTTAATGTTTTCTTTTTTTTTAGTTAATATATTATTACTGTTTTTAAAAAGGAATAGAAAAACAATACCAATACATGGTATATAACTGCTAATAGATGGAAAAAATATCCTTTATCAAGGATTTTAGAGGATAGGGTGTAGAATGAAAAAAGCCAGAACAGAAGATAAATAAATAACTCAGATCTTAGGTAAACATTAGAAACTGTGTCAGAAATTTCTATATTTAAGGCAAAGTCCATGACAAAAATTATGCCTTGTAACAAAATGTTTCTAAGACTTTAAATAATATTTTTATTTCGTTTTAAACACTATATCATTTAACAAATAAAATTCTCTCTCAATTTAAATTATGCATATATTCATTCAGCAGATGTTACCTTATGACATTTTATTGAAAAGTATACCACTGACAAAGATTAGTAACGTAAGCTGTAAACTACATATTAAATGAGACTGCTTCCACTGACCATACACAGTCAACAGTCTAATTACTTAAAACCACATCTCTTAGATGGTTCCAACAAAGGTCTGGACCATATAGGTAGCTTTCTTCTCTCCAGCCTGCGTTTCTTCCCGAACTCCAGACCTGTCTATAAAATTGCTTACTCAACACGTATTCTTGGATATGTAATAGAAACTTAACATGTCCATGATCTTTCTTTTCAAATATGCATGTCCACAATCCCCCCTATCTCAGTAAAATGTAACTCTATTCTATTAGTAGCTCAGGCCCAAAACTGTGGAGTCTTCCCTGACTCCCTCACTCTCATGGTCAGATGGTTCTGAGGCATCAATGAATTTTAAGGTCTTAAATTTCAAAATATATCCAGAATCTGACCATTACTACACTGTTCTAAGCTATTATCTGTCACCTGGATTAGTCCCATAACCCCTTACCCCGTCTCCCAGCTTCCAACCTTTGCCCTCCTCATTCTATTCTCTATAAAGTAGTCAGAGTAATACTGTTACAAGTCACTCTCTTCTGTTTAAAACCCTCTAGTGGCTTCCCACTTCACTCACAGTAAGAACCAAAGTCTTCAGGTTGGTCTACAAGGTTCCTAATTCTTTTCCTTCTTGTTTACTGTGCTTTAGCCATAGACACTTTTCCTGTGCCTCAAACACGCCAAGCATGCTCTGCTTCAGAGCCTTTTCACTTGCTGTTCCCTGGAACATTCTTTCCCTAGATATTCACATGGCTTGCTTCCCTACTTCCTTCTCTGAGACCTTCTCTGGGCAACCCTTTCTAAAATTTAAAACCAGTTCCAAATCCACAGACCTCATTCCCCTCCTGAGTGGAATGTAAGCTCTACGAAAAAGGGTTTTTTGTCTGTTCTGTTCACCATTGTATCCCAGATCCAAAGTAGGACCAAGAACTTGACAGGTGCTCAATAAATATTTGTTGAATAAAAGAATGAATCCCCAAAGAGTCAGGAAATATTGCACCAATGCTATCTCAAAACTCTCTCTAAAGAGTATTTCTATTTTTTATATTTGATGACATCACTAGGACTTGCTTGCTTAGTCTGGTTCCAAGACTGGTTCCAAATTTTGTATACATACATAGTTTAGCAGCAAAAGAAGTATGTATTAACTTGAAAACCTTGCAGTTAATGACTATATTAAAACAAAATAACAATAACTCACACCAGGCTTTAGTGAGGAATAGTGGAAAGAGCATTGAATTGGGGATCAGGAAACCAAACTTTTGGAGGAGACACTGCCACTAATTAGGTTACAATTTAACCTCTGCAGGCCTTAGTTTCTTTATCTGCAAAAGTGTTGGATAATTCTGATAATAATTATTTTATTCCTATTCTGAATGTAGTTGTCCTAGAAAAGAAAAAAGCATCTTCCTCTGGTCTTTTATGGTAAAAGTATATAGGAATATATTGAAAGGGATAGAAAAAACATTCCAAATTCAGACAGGATCAAGAGAAACAAAATTTAACGTTTGGACAAAGCTGCAAATGCAAACTTGAAAGTTCCCCATGAAAGTGGTATTTCATTTCAGGTAATTAGAGAATGCAGGTAGTGAAGAAGAGTAGAAAGAGCACCGAACTGTAATCAGGGGCCCAGGTTTCACCAGTAAACTCACTGTGGAACCACATGGAAGTCTCTTAATTAGTCTGAGTCTCAGAGACCCGACCTGCATAATTAGGGGCTTGGTCCAGACCAGTGGTTCCCAAATGCTCATTGAGAAGTGCAAGAATCACAGAGTCCTAGAACCCACCATCCAAGAGTCTGATTCAGTGGTCAAGGTGGGATTGAGGACATTTTATGTTTTAAATAAACAACTCATTCAGTATTGATGCAGGTGATTCACAAACCAGCAGTGGTTATTAGTCTGATGGACCCTTAGTGTCTCATTCAGAGTATATTTCATGACTTTGGGCAGTACTGTGCTTGAATTTCATGTGGTAAAGAACTAACTTCTCTAGTACCTCCTGCAGATGGTTACCCAGTCTGTTTGAACAGTTCCAGGATTGGAGTACTCAACATCTCCCAGTCTACGTGGGTCAGTTCTACCTGTTCAGTTCAACTTACATCAAAATCTGACTCAAAGAATACATCTAGGCTTTGTTTTCCGAAGAAACCACGAATCAGCCTGATTCTATTTTTATATAAAAGTCTTCAAAATGTTAGAAAGATACAATTTTTTCCCTTAGTTAAATACTTGACTTTCTTCAACTCTTCCTCACTCAGCAGAGTTTCTTGATCATACTGTCTCAAACACAATTGCAAAGTAATACTGAACTCATTTTATTTTGGCACTATCCTGTTTGAATATTTTATTGACTAGCAAATAAAAAAGATCTACAGAAAATAAGTTAGAAAACGTACAATTTCTAAGTGTTACCATGAAACTTGATTAAATCCTTCAATAGAGTAGTTTTTACTCCACTTTTAATTTCAAAACACAGAAGTATTTTCTACTTTATCATTTTAAAAAATATTTTGAGTATAACAGGTATTTTCAAAGTACATTCATAGTTTTAATGCAATGCAAATATGCTTTGATTAAAATAATGCTAATAGTGTTAAGCTAATAACATTTGTATGAAGCTAGTGCTAATAGTCCCTTTTTAGATCTGAGAAAACTGAGGCTCACAAAGGCTGCTTCTTGACTGAGAAGAAACTAACATTTATTGACTCTCCACTATATTTCCAAGCATAGCTTTAAGCACATTTACATGTTTTCTCCCTTTTG